AAATATCTTTATGGAGTAGCATTTGCTTTACAATAGAGGGTGAAAAGAAGTTTATTCTATGGGTTGTGAGACACTGAGACTATTTTAGGATAAAAGTGCCAACACATCAGTTTGCTACAGCAGAAAATTAATATAGATTCTTTTTTAGTGGCATTTGAAACTATCTGCCTCTTCATCTACCAGCAGTTGTTCTTCTTAGACTGCCTGCACTGTTGTACTTTATTCTCCCACACATTGCTACAAGATGACATGTTGGGTTTTTAAGTTTTTCCTGTTAATTGAAAGACTTGCTCCTCCTACAAGGCTGGGAAGAAGCTGAGATTTCCAGTTTTAAACTTGACTCATGTTGGCATAGCTTTCAGGTGTAGAGGTTTTTCCTCTACTTTGCTTTGAACGCAGATCCCTCCAATTTTTTTTGTGTAGCAGTTTGGACTAAAGAAAATTCCAGGCAGCAGAAACAGAATTGTCTCGATTCCGTTAAAAAATTTCTCCTGAACAAATTCATAAAAGACTTTGATATAATAGTTCATGGCTTACCACTGCCTGATCTGTTTTACAATTTAAAAGGAATATATAAATATATTCCTTGACACAATTACAGTTGGGTAAGAAAAGCAGCATCCCTTTGACCTCCCCATACTGTCAGCATCCTGGCCCTCCCTTACTTCAACCCATAGCAAGCAGAGACCAGCGCAGTCACAGTTTCATTCCAGGAGCATGAGATGCTGTGCTTACACCCAGTTTGATCACACAATTTTAAGTCCATAGTTGAAGTTGGTTAGTGCCGGTCCCTCACAGTAAAATGGGACGCTGGGCAGGAAATTAAAATAGAGATGCAGATTTGGCAGAACAGTCTTCACTGAGCTCAGTGTCAATTTTTCTAAATAAAGATGGAATTAAGCAGACAGTTGTCTCAGAAATATCAGCTTCAGAGAAACCATGGTAAGTGAAGGTCTTACAGTTTATCAGTGCTATGTAAAGTGGAAAGTTGTTTATAAGGTTTCCATGCATACACTTATTCCCACAGTTACACACTAATATTTTTTTCAGCAACTTGAGGGAGAGAGATGAGAGAAAAATCAAGTGGCTCATGCGGCTGAGGAGCACTCCATTGTCATCTACCTTGGTACTTCCATCCCATGTTTTAATATTTTACAGCTTTCCTACAGATCCCAGTGAACTTTATTGAGCCAGGACTCTGCTCTACAGCCACAGCTTCACTTTTCTTTACCTGAGATAGAAAAATGGATTTCAATCTTTTGGCTCCAGAGAAGTGAGTGCTCTTCTTTTGTTTAGTTCAGCTTTTGTAAATAATTGTATCGTCTCTTTCAGAAAGAAGACAAAGAGTATTCAGCAAAAGGCACTCTGAAATTATATTGCCTGTTTTTGAGTTACTGTTTGGAGAGCCTGATCCAGAAGCAAGCAAATTCAATAGCTTCTCAGTTACAACAGTTTTTGCATCCAGTTCTAAAGGGTTATTCTTTACGCTTCTTCTAATGCTGTGTCATACTCAGACTGCAGAGCCAAAAAGAACAGAAAGTTATGCATTTGGCTTTCACTATAGAATGAGATCTTAATCAGCATTCACATTCAGCTTAATTCCCGTCAAAGAAAGTTTTTATCATTAATAGAGGAGCAAAAGGTAAGCTGATGCACATCACTTCCCTAAATCTTATCCATGGATCTCTCTGATGGAAGAACCAGCGCATACACCACCATCAGTACATGTAATTAGTGGCACTATGCACAAAGAGGTGTATCCTAACTAGATGCAGGAAAAATATGTGAAACAGTTGTCTGTATATAGCAGTACAAGAAAAAATACTATCCCAGTGCCTCTGCTGTAAAAAGCATTTGTATTACCCTTACTTCTCTGAATAAATTCAAATGACAGCCCCATTTCATTTCTTCATTCAGTCTGGAGGCCAGATGGCATTAGAATCATTTACTTCACCTTGTTGTGCTTAATTACTACAATCAACACACTATTTTCCAAATTAATCATAACAAAGTAATTTCATTAGTAACACAGCAGGCTGTTGAATTATTAGCATCATAACAGTTTGCAAACAATTAAACTTTATTTGAACCTTAAAAATTTGCAGAGTAGAACATTATTGTGAGATCTAATGGCAGTATAGTACAAATCCAGAACAGAGCAAATAATCAAGTAAAACGCTGTACAAAATATGACTTACAATAACCTTTGTAAAAAAATCAGCTCTTTTACTGGTCACAGAAAGGCAAGTGTAACCTCAGTAAACAAAGAAAATAAAGCAATTAGCATTTTCTACCACTGAGTTTTGTTTAAGTCTTATTAACAGAGATTTTCTTTTCCAAAAAAGGTTACGCTATTCACACAGATTTAACGTAAACAATTCATCCCTTGTCCATTGTCAGTTTATCACAAGACACTTCAAGTGAGTTTCAGGACATCAGTTTGATTATTCCCTCCCTATATGTACTAGGGACGAGCGGGGGAGCCCTAAAGAAGAACTACAGACAAAAGACACTTTATTTCTGTGATCGCCACCACTCCGGAGAGCCGGCGCTCGGCCGGCCCGCGGCTCCTCATCGCTTGGGTAAGGACGCCCTCTGCTGGAAGAACGGCGGAAGCACCGCAGGGGCGCACGGAAGGGGGGAAGGGGACGGGGCTAGGCCGCCTCCCCCTGCTACGAAAATTTGCTGCCACCTACCGCCGCGGGCGGGCAGCGCAACGCAGGGCGGCGCAGGGCGGTGCCTCGGCCCGCCGCCTCTTCCTTCCCTT